CTTAAAAAATTAGTCATTAGATAGTACACCACTAAATAATATTGTTTTTAAATGAAAAACAAATCTAAATAAAGTTAAGGCATAACTGCTGAATTAAAAAAAAAAATAAAGATTTTTATATTTTGTACCTAAATAAATAATTTTTAGCTCACCTTATTTCTTGAAATAAATCAATTATGTTCAAGTTATCTAAAAAAGTACTCTTATCTTATCATATATCATAATAAAATTGTTCTCATTAAAATAATTACTTTTCTTGTCCTTATAATTGCTAAATTACTGTAACTAGAAAGAGTAAAAATTCATAATGATAAATAAATAATTCTTACATAAGAAATTTATTGATTAACTTTCTGATAAAATATTAATCAACAAATCATCATTCTAAACTCAAATTTTTGCTATGACAACCCAAAACATGACCTAGAAAGACTAATTAGAAAAATAAGAACAAAAGTATTAATAGAAGATCATAAGTTCTAGAACAAGATTCTGAACAAGACCACAAGAAGAACCTTATTGGAGCTCATAAGTGAAACTAATCCTAAACTTTAACAAAGTCAAGCCTCACCTCTGTTAAAGTCTACTAATATAGTTTAAGTACATAGACACTAACTATTCTTAGAATTCTTTCAAAGACTACTCTCACTTATATTAACACAATGTTAGTTGGTCAGTTTGATGAGGCTAATTTTAAACAAATAGCCTCTTATAAAATTCAGCAAATATTTATAGGCATCCTATATTTCAACAAAAAGAAAATACTACAGCTTCTGATTCTATTAATGATGAATCAATACAAACTCATAAGAAATTTGATCAAAGTTTCTAACATAAGGTTAAAGTTAGTATTTTATATAGAACTAAATCCTCATGTAATCTAGTCTCTGAACAAGTTCTATTTGAAAGAACCAGTCTAGATGATTATGCTAACTAAAGATAATAGATTTATAGGGGTTCATATTATTTTACAGACACTCAATTCATAGACATGCCACTTCAGAGACAATCAATTCACTGACAAGCTTATTTCATAGACAACTAATTCCTAGATAAGCTCATTTCATAGACAACTTATTTAATAAATAGCTCACTTCATAGACAAGTTTATTCCTATAAACTTCTCTAATCCTAACTCTAAGCTTAACTCTAATCTAATAAAAATAATATCTATAAAATGAGATGTCTATGAAATAAATTGTCTATAAAATAAGCTTGTCTAGGAATTAGTTGTCTATGAAATAAGCTTGTCAGTGAATTGATTATCTGTAAGGTAGCATGTTTATGAGTTGAGTGTCTGTGAAATAAGTGCTACCCGATTTATAGACGTATTTATACTGGTATATATAGGGGAGCACATTATTTCGGAATGCGCATGCATGTTATTTTGAATCTAATATACATTTTTTAAAAAAGTAGTAATTTCGAAATAACGTGCATACGCGTTATTATGCGTTTATACGGTAATAATGAAATCCACAAAGTTGTTCTAACCCATGAGACTTATACAAATCAAAAAAATAAAAGAAGCTTAAATGTCTAAACTACAAAAAAAAATAGATATTCAGTGTAACTTAACGTTTAAATATTAAGCGATTAATATTTTTAAAGTTCTTCACGTTAGTATTATAGAACTTTATATACGTAAACAAAGCAGAAATAATATAGGAACCCAAGAGTGTATGGTTGAAAATTTCTACAAAGTTATTTGTGGTGCTCATCAGGAAGATCTGGCAAAAGCTTTATATTTTTTTTTACTTAATAATAAATAGATCCGTTAGTCGAAGACACTGTCAATAAATGTAAGGTATGTGTTACTTAGAGAATGCCAAAAAGAATCACACCGATGTGTCCAATTATTTCTAAATTATATACAGGCAAGTGAATAATTTGTAACATTAATATATAAAAAAAAAAAAAATTATTATAATATATATTATTAAATAGATATTATTGCTATGACTTGAATTTCTGATGGGGATACAACTCAAGAGCACCTGAACCAACTCAAGAATGCTCAATCTAAGAACACTCAACTCATACATTTAAAAATTTTTTAAACTTTAATAAAAATTTTACTAATGCTAATATAAATTTTAATTGAAGTAATAATATAAATAATAGAAATATTGGTTTAAGCCAAAGGCTTTGTCCAGACTGTTGCTATTGCTGAAAAATGAATTGCAACACAAAATTATGCTCTTGCAGAAAAAATAATTCGTTATGCTCAAGACACTGTGGATGTGTTTTACATAGATAATGCAAAAATTGTTAGTTTTATTATTAAAATATTAATTTATTACATTAATTTGAATATGTTTGGTCAAAATGTAGCTAAATTAGAATTTAAATATTTAATATAAATAATTTTTTAGCCAACTTTTTTTTAATCTGCAAAATTCATACCGATGGACGCATAACATATATAAGTATCATTTAAATAATTTTCTTTTTTGCAATAAGCTTAATTATTTTATTTATTAAGATTTAGTTAGTAAGCGCAATAAAGTTTAAAATACCTGAATGAATTGCATAAGCAATACGAGATACGCTAGTTATTTATAATATTAAACGCTGAAAACTTTTACTTAGTGACATAATGCAAGTTTTATAATAAAATTTTAAAGGAAAATTATATTCATAACACCATGTTATATAACACCATACTATTAAATATATAATATACTAAAAACCTATACCCTTACCCTAATCTAGTTTACATAATTATTATATATAAGGTATTATATAATATAGATGTTATGAATATAATATTTCAATTTTAAAATATTAAAATTCTTTATTATCATTACACAAGATCCTGTGATTTTATTGGTTAATTATATAACCATGAATTTCACTTCCGACGAGTATTAAAATCATCCTATATTAATAAAATTATCAAAAATTCTATATCGCGAATTATTTTACTAATAAACTGTAATTTTATACTCTAACTAAACTTGTTTAGAATATAAAAATATATTAGAATAACTTCTATTTTTGAAATATTTTTAACAAGCATGGGTCAGAAAAGGCCGAAAAGAATCGATGATAACTAATCGATTTTTAAATTTGAGAATATGCCTGACTGTATTATATTTGTTTAATATATCTAAAAAGATATAAAGTTGACGTTAACCAACTAATTAACTTTAAATGGCCTTATTCATCAAACTAACGCTAATGGATATTAAAATTAAAGGTCACTATGACTTCACGAATTCTTTATTAAACAGAACTGCTTTACGTTATACATGTGACCGAAACTATTTCGAAACTAGTTATGACATAAGTAGTAATAGTTTAAACAAAAGCCGAAACAATTTTCAAGACAATAGTGTAAAATTTTTTAAATTTGTTATTGATGAAACTGAATCACCAAAAAAGGTTTTTTTAAAAACCTGGATCGATAATTGGGCAGAGGAAAAGAATATTTTTAACAAAACTGATAAAATTCGAGAGTGTAAAATGTGTTATGCTTTAACTTTTGCAAAAAAATATTGCGAATATTGTATTCGAGGATATTTGGCTAGAAATTACTCGAAATGGACATCTGGTGTGGATGAAATTGATAAATTGATTCAAAAGTGTCAGGAAAAAACAATAAGGCCAGATTATATTGTAGAATGGATACTTTTTGAGAATTTTAGCAAACTTGTATTCAAAACTAGTAGAAGTTGTGCAAATGTCTATTTAACAGTTTGGCGCAGCGGCCAGTATGATAAGTAGAATGCCAATAAAAATCAACTCGAGAGAACTGGTGACAGAAACGTAATTCTAAAGCATCTAGAAAATTTAAGTGTTCTAAATAGAGATGGGTTTCATGCGTGCGCATAATTGCAGAATCATGCACATTCATGCGCATGATTCTGTTTCATGTGCATTTTATCCCATCAAGAACTCTCTTCTTTCAATTGTCTTTTTTTTTTTGCCTTTTTTTTATCATGCGATATCATGTACATGAAACATTTTGTATGTATTAATGTGCATTTATGTGCATGTTATTATAATATGCGCATTTTTCCCATCACCAGTTCCAAATAAAAGATGGTATTGCGAGGTATGTTTTTTTTTAGATAAATTTAATAATTAAAGTATATTTAGCGTTAGCAATTCCTCTTTTTGCATATACACGTTATTATTGTTATTATAAAATTATTTCAATATGTGTTATTGAATGAAACCTTATCCCTTACATTGCACAAATGCTCAGATCATATGTAAATTTTAATATAAGGGCACATGGCAGGTCATATCGTCCATTCAAGAAATTTCTGAATAGATATTCCATTATTTTATTTCTTTGTTCTTTAAAAATCAAATGTTTATACAACGTCATTGGTTTATTATTTCCCGACTAGTGTTCTGATTGAGTAGGTTAACCCGAAAAAAAATCCAACTCAAAAGTTCAGGTCGGGTTCGAGTCAAGAAAAATTGACCCGAAAATTTTCGAGTTGGGTTCGAGTATAGTTGCTGCTGTAATTGATTTTCGAAAAAAATACTAATATGGCACCAAATGGCAATTTTGCCGTAAATGTTGTAAACCGCAATGCCGCAATGCCATAAAGCTGTAATATCATAATGCCACAATGCCGCAATGCTGTAATTAGAGAAGTCACCCAAACCCGATGGTTTTGGCACGTGGCCAAACCCAAATAGCTGAAACTAGTTTAGAACTTGGTCAAAATAAAATCCTAAACTATAATGATATAACAATAATAAATGTCATGAATTATGGTGAGATTCGGATAATAGTGAGATTAGAAAATCCTATTAGCTAAATTTTGCAGATCACCCTATCCCTAACCAATAAGAGTTCTTAATCTTATTATCATCCAAATCTCATCATAATCTGCGACAAATATTATTAAAAGAATTGTTATCAGTTATATTAATAAAAAAGTGATACTGCATTTATTAAAAGTATCCTTATATTAATTAGAAGCATCATTATATTTTTGAGGCATCATTATTTATTAAAATAATTGTTATACTGTATTAAATTAAAAGCAAAAATTTTATAATCGGAATTTGGGTATTTGGAATTTAGGACAGTATTTGGGATTTGAGATTGCATTTGGGTTTTACAAAAGCCTGAATCCTAACCGAAAATGGCCGTAAGTGTTAAAACAATGCTGAAATAGTTTGGATAATATCTCTAGCCATAATGCTGTAATTAGGGATAGGAATAGATTCTAAAAACTTCAATCAGTGATCAAATTACTAATAATCGATTTATAATCGATAATCGAATCCTACATATATGTCATTATTACTTATTTTAATGAACAGTATTTTTAATATTTGCACTTTGATGTGCACCGCCTTCTTTGGTTGTTAAGTTAGGCATTGTAACCCTTGTAGTTTTTTAATTACATTGAATAAATGATAAG